GTACTCACAGTCCATGCTGAGTAATCTAAACCTGAGTTATTTTCAACTTCAAAAGCAAACACACAGGTTCTCTGTCTCAAAGAAATCATAAAATAGAGCAAAGTGACACTAAAGCAAGGGAACGCCATCAGCTCCCGTTTCCAAGCGCCTTCTATGTAGAACTGTTGTTTGTTCTTTCTCGCCCCAGGCAGGAAGCAGGTTACTCTGTCTCCATTTTAGTACAAATATGTTTTAAGTCAATATTCCAATATCGCTCTCACGTGAATAAATTATTATGAATGGTCCTAATAGCCACTGAGATCAGCATAATAAAATATCTCAAAATAATGTTTATCCTCTATGACTGGAAGAAGATAAGACAGCAAAAATAAAAGCAGAACTTGCAATACAACTCAGAGGCGGGCCCAGGGGAGCGTGGCCTGCGCTGCGCACTGCAGGAAATACAGAGAACCCAGTGGGGAGAAGGCTGCCTCCACCAGAGCAAAGGAGGCAGGTGTACCTTGTGATCATTTGTAACAACATATGGGAGAAAAGAGCAATAGCAGAATTTTTAAGACCTAAGAGCAAAATCTGCTCTAAACAAAACCATAACCATGAATTTTATTCTCGTAAGAATAAGCCTGGAAAACACTTGCAAAAAATGTCCAGGAAACAAGGCTATTTATATCCATGCTTAGACTATAGAGATTAATCAATATTAAATGTTCCAGAAGGTGATTGAAATAACTCTAACATAATTAGAAGGAAGCAGAACACATTTTCAGGGTGTGAACAAATAGGCTGGTAAAGCCACGGAAAAGAGATTGACAGTTTAAGGGCAGAAAAGAGGAGAGGAAAGCTAAGTGAGAAAACACTTATTTTAGAAAGAGCCTACTGGGTCTACTGTTATTCAGGCAGATGATTCTACCAAAATTCAAACAAATGCATTGCTATGACATTGGTTCTTCTATTCTAAACACTTTCATAATTTTAAGTGAAATAGGATTTACATGCCACATAAGTTTTACCTTTAAAGAAAAATACTTATATTCTTAAAAGGTTTTTCTTATCTTTTTCTAAAGTCTAGACATGGAGTTTGCTCCTAAACATTTGTCATTTAATGGGAAAGTAGAGAATTGCAGAAATGGAGTTCTTATGGTTGTGGGATAGTGTTATTTCCAAAAATCCCACAGTTGGGTATAAAACATAGAAAGATAGCCTATGATAAAAATATATGCACTATCAAACCGCAAAAAGACATGGGGAAACCTTAAATGTCCTTTGCTAAGTGAAGGAAGCCAATCTGAAAAGGCTAATACTGTGATTCCAACTACATGACATTCTGGAAAAGGCAAAAAAGGAGACAGTAAAAAGATCAGTATTTGCCAGGGGTTAGAGAGTAGGGAGGGAGGAAGGAAGCAATGGATAAATAGGGGGAGCACAGGGGATTTTAGGGCCCTGAAACTGTTCTGTAAGGTGCTGTAACAGTAAGTATATGTCATGATATACCTGTCAAAGCCCTCAGAATGTACAACAGAAAGAATGAACTCTAATATAAACTAAGGCATTTAATTAAACCAATGTGTCCATATTGGTTTGTCAATTATAACAAATGTATCACACTAATACAATATGTTAGTAACAGTGGAAACAGAGTGAGGAGTATACTGAGGTGGTATACAGGAGCTCTCCATACTCTCCGCTCATTTTTCTACGAACCTAAAATGTCTCTAAAAACTAAAATCTATTAGTTTAAAAAGTAAATCAAATGGCTATAAAATTTTCAAGTATTTTAAAGTGAAATCTTATGAAAACATAGAAAATAAAGGAATGGCAATACAGCCCATCACAAAATCAATGAATTCTCAAGGCTCACTGTTACTGTTAAAATCATGTCCCAGTGAGTTGAAGCTGAAGAAGTTTGAGAACTTCAATATAAATTATTTTTAAAAGGTGCTCTGATGGAAAAAAATACTTATATAAAAGGTGAAATTTAGAATTGAGGGTAACTATGCATAATTTACAGCAATTAAGCCAGATGTCACTCTGTGTTTTGCTTGTTTTTTTGCTATTTACAATTAAAGACCAGTTCTTGCAAGTCACCTACCCTTACAGAGCTTCACTGCCCTTTTCCAGAAAACAACATTAAGTGTCTCTTTTTACACTGTCAGTGTTAGTACTAACTGGAATCATGTACATGAAAGACCAGTTTTTCACGGCGAGACAATGAGAAACAGTAATATGACACAACATGTGCCCAATAAAATCCAGTACACGTGCTCTTCCCAGTTGTGTCACAAACTAACTGAATGACTGTGAGTAAACACTGTCGCCTTTCTGCCACTATTGTCTAAGTAGAGAAAAAAACGATAGGACTAGAAAGAATTTCATCTACTATATTTTTCTGACATTATGATTACTGGTTCTCAAAATAATGCTGCCTCAACCCCCAGGATGTCAAAAATTTTATTCTTCTTCACTGTTGCAACCCCAGTGCCTAGAAGAGAAACTGGGCACATCCCAACCGCCTGATACATAACTGTTGAATGAATAAATGCAGCCAATCTGCATGAAAGTAAACTCTGTTGTAACATAATTCTTCCAGAATAAAAAAAGAGGAGAGTTCAACTTCCTACCATGAGGCAGTCATGCACACAACTTACCCACACACACCAACACACCCACACACAGGAACACAGGAACACAAACACTATCTCATACACTGCAGCTAAAATGCACACACTAAAGCCCAAATTCAAATACTGTATCTTAACTGAAGTGAAGTAGTCAGAAAAACAAAGAATAAAAAACCACCTCAGCATATAACAATAAGTGAAGTTTTTAAAAAAAAAAATAAAGTCCCCCTTAAAAACAACAGAAAGTCCTGATGTGTGTGAAATATTAAAAATTGACTCCACAAAAATGTCAACATTACAGACTGGAACTTAGATGAGTGAAGACTGTCAGGCAGAAATTGAATCAAACAGGAGAAGCTGCTTACTCTCTTAAAAAGCAGCCTTTCCTCAGCTTTGGGCCGTTGAGATCATAAAAGGTTCCTAACTCTCATTTTCTGAAACTTCCAACTAAACAGAAAAGCTGAAATTCATTTTATATGAACTCTCCCAATCTTTAACTGCTGACAATGAATTCATGTAGATATACTATAGACAAAAACAAACAAACAAACAAAAAACCTGCTGGACTGGTGGGTGGATCTCTTAGTTGCCAGAGCCAACACCAGATTTACTCCCACAGCTAGTCTGTCAAACCTTTTCTGAATAACTTCGGAATGGAAACAGAAAAAGCACAAAACTAGATTCAAAGAGAACATGACATATTTTCTCAGGCTTTTCAAAAATTAATATCAACCCAACATATCAGCTGTGTCATCAGAAAGGGCAATTTAAAATATTTATGTAATAAATCATTTTTGGCTTGTGGAAAAAATGGAGAATATAAAATATATCTATAGGGTCTCAGAGATAAATGATAGGGGTGATGACAGATGAAAGAAAATAATTCAGGAGTGGGAGTGAGAAGGAAGGAAAGAAGAATATAAGAGAGAGAAAAGAGTGACAGACTAAGAGAATATATACCATTATGTTGGCCCTGGCTATAAGAGTAGGACAACGCATTCTTATTTGGCTTACTTATGTTCCACCAAGTTAATGGGAAGAGATAAAGCACACTGAGATTAGGGTGTTAACATATAAATTATTATGAACTACAATAATTATTACTACTTGTTTTGCTTTCATAATAACTTCCTTAGTAAGGGATTGATAAACACACCTAGTTTACTCATCAACTGGAAAGACATTTAAAAATTGGCTATTTGGGTTGTTACTAGCACATATGTAAAATATTCAACTATTTAACTAAACTGAAATTATCCTCCAAAGTCACTGAAATATTGTTAGTGTGCATAACTTTCTAAATTAATTGTTTATATACATTATATTTAAAGTTAAATATTCAAACTAATTTTTTCTTAAAATGGAGGGCTGAAAATATTTTTTCTTTGTCACAAAGTGGTTCCATAATGAATTTCAATAGTGTTGGCTTAAATAAAAAAGTGAAATATTGAACTTATTAGATAATAAAAATTTTCACTCAAAATTTAAGTTGTTTTGAATATAATAGTCATGCAATACAGCTAATACACCCTGTGTAATATAATTATTTTGTCACAATATTTTACTCATGCTTTCATTTTCCATCTAATAACATGGATGTCTTTTTCATTTAACAGACAGTTATGAAATATTTTTTAAACATAATCTATTTATTAAGATTTTTAGTATATTATACATACACATTAATATGTATATTGTTAAAAAATGGTTTACTTAATTTTCACCCAAAAGACTTTATTTTTAATGTACAAGCAGTAAAATAACTAATAAAAACAATTGATTGTAGAAATGTTCCAATGAAACATTTTTTCCTGAAAGTTTTCAATAAAGAAAAAATTTAAAATTGAAAGAAAACCTTGGAATGATGACTGGCCTAATAATCTGAGAAACCTTTAATCTCAATGGAATTTAAGGAACTTCTCACAATATTTTCATTCCCTAATGTAGTAAAGAAACACAAAATACATTGATTCCAGGGTTAGAATTGACACTGGTCATTGACATGTTACTTTATTTCCTATTCAAGATAACCAGAATAAGGGCAAATCAGCAGCAAACCTTTTTTTTCTACCCTTTTTTTTAAAGATCAACCAATTCTATAAGTGTGTTGGTTGCTTCAATCTGAATGTTTACGGTACTTTCACACTTCTTTATGGAGAAATACTCAGAGAAGAAAATCACATGTTCGTTATCAGTCACTGAAATCCCTCCCTGTCTGCCCATTTTCCCCAGGCCCAGCTGATGCGAAGTCTCCACACTCACCTTCACACACATACCCATCCTCTCTTAACAACACATATGTCCAATACATTTTCAATCATATGTGGCATTTAACATGTCTACTCAAGTAGCTTAAGTTGTAGAAAAAATTTCATAAAGACTTACCCCATTTTTTGGAAAAGCAATCCATCCCAGGTCCCCCATGACAGTACGTGAATCCAGTAAATTCACTGAAAGAGAAAGAACACAAAACTGAGTCAAATGTATAAAACGGCGTCACTATTTTCAGTGTTATTAAAAGTGCATATTGCTACATAATTGAAATTAGATTAAGTAGTCATTGTGATGAATACAAGAGTTATAATTTAAAGAAAACATTTCAATGCAAGAAAACAAGTGATTTTGAATTAACACTTAGAGCAAAATTATATAAACAACTCATTACACTAAGTGCTCTTTTTTTGTCAAACAACTATAAAGAAAAATTAAAATAAGAAAAATAAAATATGAAAAATCCACATAAAACAATAAAGACCATGTAGCGTTTTTTTCAGGCTCTAGGCCTTGGGATTAAGCTGCAGCCATAAAATTGTGGCTGAACGTATTGTATTTTCTTCCAGAAAGCTGTTATGAAGCAATTAACAAATAATTTACATTAAACAGCAATAAACTATACCCAAGCTTGTAACATTTTTGTGATATTAACTGAAATCTGTAATCCAAATTGCAAGTTTAATTAAGAAATAAATCTACACACCCTTAACCAAGCCAAGGAAATTGTAGCAGCTCTCAGGGTTGTTATTACAGTTATGGGGCCATTGCATTTCCAAGATATGTTCTACGTATATATGACCATAATCTTGAATGTGCTTCTTGTGGAACTATCATTTACATTTTTGAAAGACAGACATCAATTATGGCTAGATATCTTAAAATATTTGGAACTCCCAAGGGGAAGTCTAAATGTCATCTTTGCAAAGGGAAACCACACAGTATTTATACACATGTGCACCCACATCCCACACACTCGCCATGTTTATATTTCAGAAAGTTCATCTACTGTTACGCCAAGTTAAACTACCTAAAAGAAAACTTTGTTGTCAAAATGCTTTAGACCTGGGTCACAGATCATTATGTTTCCAACCTATTATGCCTAACCTAAATAGACCCACCTGGCCCATTGTGTAGCTGAACCAGTTTATTTTAAAAAATTATTTATGTTTTTATTGATTTTAGAGAGGGAGAAAGGAAGAGGGAGGAAAGGAGAGAAACATGGATAGGCTGCCTTCTGCATGCACCCTACTGGGGTGAGCCTGCAACCCAGGAATGTGCCCTGACTGGGAATCAACCAGTGACCAGTCTATGCATGGAACCATGGTCAACCAACTGAACTACATTGCCCAGGGCCAGGTGAACAACTCTAAATGAGCATGGCATATGGATTCAAAAGAAAAACAACTAGATTAGCCCCAGTCAGAGCTATGAAGCTTCTTTAAACTAAATTCAAGGGCCAGTATCTTGAAATACCAGCAATTTTTTAAAAAATGATTCTATATGAAAGAGATATCCTGAGTACTAAAAGAATAACAGTTAATAGGCTGTTATAATATTTCTATAAGAATATATAGAACAAGAAGAAACCAAGATGACAGCAGATTAAGGGAAAGCTACACTGACACTCTCCCAGGACCAAACTGGAATTACAACTAAAATATAGAAAAACCACCCTGAGTAATCAACTGAAGAAACACTGGAGAGCACCCTCATGACCAAGGATGAAAAGTGGAGACCACTCAGAGACTGGTAGAAGTGTGGAGGAACAAGAGGGCTGGCTGGCCTCCCACAGGCAGCAACTGAAATACGGGAGGGATGTATCAGTGGTGGGGGGTTCCCACAGAGAACTCTGAGGTCTAAACCCCAAGCTGGGCTCTCCAGCCCAGGGCACCAGAACTGAGGAAGGTCGCCACACAACATCTGACTGTGTAAAGCAGCCACATTTCTGTCTGCCAAGGAGAGACGGCTGGAAATGCAGGGACCTCTTAAAGGGCCAACACACAAAGTTTTCTATGCAGTCACTCACCTTGGGCTCTGGCAGTGGGAGGGTAGAGTGGACTAGAGCTGTGTGAATCCAGGCATGCTGGCTTGAAGGATAGAGCTCAGAGGGCAGCCATCTGGATTCCAGTGCTGAGTCATTCCCCCATATGGCAGAGAACATCTTTCTTAGGCAGACATTTACCATCCAAGCTTTTGCCTGGTGGGGGGTGGGGGTGGAGGGAGCAATTGCTCCACCCACTGAAAACCTCTCACCCCACCCTGTGGAGTTCTACAGTCTGAGGCTCATTAAGAGACTGAATAACAATCAGCCACCTCATCCTGTGTAATTTCTACAACCTGAAGTTCATTAAGAGACTGAGTAACAATCAGACTCTGGGTGCTTTGGGTCTTTGCCTGATTTGCTTCTGGACCCAGGGCTTGGAATAGCAGACCTTGGTGCACATCTTGGTCCTTTCCAAATGCATCCAGCCCCAGCAGAGGGAAACACAAACTGTGGTATGTGGAAAGATTCAAACAGGGTACTCAAGACCAGTCACAAACAGAGTCCAACACTGGCCTGCACCAGAGGCCATCCAAAAGACTGGAAGTCTTGGCAGATCTACCTAATACATAGAAACAAACCTAAACAGGCAGACAAACTAGGGAGTCAAAAAACAAGCCCCAAGTGAAACAACAAAAGAGTTTTCCAGAAGAGCTAAATGAAATGGAGATAAGCAATCTTTCAGATATACAGTTCAGAATACTGATCATAAGGATGCTCAACAGCATGAAAAAAGATACGGAAACTATAAAGGAGATTAAGAATGACATAGTAGAAATAAAAAATACACTGGAATAAACAGCCGATTAGAGGAAGCTGAGAATCAGATCAGTGAATTAGAAGACAGAGTAGAAAAAAATCACTCAATCAGAGGTCTAAAAAGAAAAAGCAATTAAAAAACAGGAGGACAGTTTAAGGGAGCTGTGGGACAACATCAAATATAACAATATTTGCATCATAGGAACCCCAGAAAGTGCAGAAAGTAAGCCAGGGTTAGAGAACCTATTTGAAGAAATGATGACAGAAAACTTCCCTAACCTGGTGAAGGAAAAAAGTCACACAAGTTCAGGAGGCACAGAGAGTTCCAAGCAAGAAGAACCCAAAGAGACCCACATCCAGACACATCATAATTAAAATGCTGAAAATTCAAGACAAAGAATCCTAAAGGTAGCAAGAGAAAAGCAATCTGCTACCTACAAAGGATCCCCCTTAAGGCTGTCAGCTGATTTCTCATCAGAAACTCTACAGGCCAGATGGGAATGGCAGGAAATATTCAAGATAATGAAAAGCAAGGATCTGAAACCAAGACTACTCTATCCAGCAAGGCTATTCTTCAAGATAGATGGTGAAATAAAGAGCTTCCCAGACAAAAAAAGGCTAAAGGCATTTATCACCACCAAACCAGCATTGCAAAAAATGTTAAAGTGACTGCTATAATAAGTAGAAACAGAAAAAGAGAAACATAAGCATAAAGAAATAAAATGGCAATAGATAAGTATCTATCAATAATAACCTTAAATGTAAATGGATTAAATGCTCCAATCAAAAGACATAGGGTGGCTGAGCGGATAAGAAAGCATGACCCAAATATATGTTGTCTACAACAGTCCCACCTCAGAACAAAAGACTCACATAGGCTGAAAAATAAACTTCTGGAGGACTTTAAGGGAGAGATCAACAGCAATACAGTCATTGTCGGGGACTTTAACACCCCACTGCCTTTACTGGATAGATCTTCCAGACAAAATATCAACAAAGAAACAGTGACTCTAAATGACACACTAGATCAAAAGATTTGACATTTACAGAACATTTCACCCCAAAGCTGCAGAACATACATTCTTCTCAAGTGCACATGGGACATTCTTAAAGATAGACCACATGTTAGGACACAAAACAAGTCTCTACAAGTTCAAGAAGACTGAATCATATGAAGCATCTTCTTGGATAATTATACCATGGAATACTATGCAGCTGTAAAGAAGAAGGATCCCTTACCCTTTGAGACAGCATGGTGGGACCTCAAGAGTATCATATGATCTCACTCATATGTGGAATCTAATGAACAAAATAAACTGATGAACAAAATAGATCGAGAGACATAGCAGCATGGAACAGACTGACGAATCTCAGAGGGAAGGAGGGGTGGGTGGAGGTGTGTGCGGAGAGAGATTATCCTCAGAACTTATATGTATATATGTATAATCCATGGACACAGACAATAGTGTGGTGAAGGCCTAGAAGGGGGAGCATGCAGGGTGGAGGGAATCAATGGGGGGAAAAATGGGACATATGTGATACTTTCAACAATAAAGATAAAGTAAAACATAATAAGTAAATAAATAAATAAGAAAATATAAAGCAGAATTACTATAACCAAGGAAATCAAGATCATGATTTAAATAGAAAATTTCTACACACTATAAAAATTATGTACATTTAACCCTTATTTTCCAACATTTTATTTCATATAACATCAAACATACTTATACACTAAGTTAACCATTTATAATATTAGCAATATTTTTTAAGTTGTATAAAGCAGAAATATATTGAATACATATACACACATGCACACATGTATATGCATAATATAAACCGGTGTGTTAAATATACTTGTCTATTTCCCTGAAGTGCTGAGCTCTGTAACTATAAAAGTGCATACTTATAGAATGGTTTTATCATCTTTAGCCTACCCACATGAACTTGGCTTTAGAGAAAAATAAAATAAGTAATTTGTGAAATTATTTTTTAGAGAAAATTGACCTAGCTGAAAAAGTATTGTTTAAAACAGAAAAAAAAAAATCTGTTCCACTACCCACTGACCTTGCAAATCCTCCAGTCACACCACTAAATCTAATTTTTCAGTTAGATCCATACTCTTTCCTTTAATTCTGTTGTTGGCTTTTCAGGTTTCCAAGGGAATAAGGCTACGTTAAACTTAAATGTCCTTGTCCTCATTTTGTCTTTTCTGGGACACTTAGGGCTGCGTCTAGACAGGACTGCCTACCAGGGGAGTGCAGAACCTAAACTGTTATGTTTACTCATCTTTGGGATTCCTTTATTTCACCTTTGATACTGAGCAGCAGAATATCTGTGTAGACTAGATAAAGCAGAGTAAATCAGCCACTAAAA